TTTTTTTTTTTTGTCCCAGTTATGTGAGAACTTCCTTCAATTCATTTTCTTAAAAAGCAGCATCAGTGAACAATGTCAGAAATGACGCCGTTGGTTCAAATTCTTGTGCCATCCCCTCGTGCCTGAGGAGCCGCCGGGTTCCAGCCCGTCCTCCTCCGAGTCCCTGCCTCCTTAGCAAACTTAAAAATAGGAATTTCAAAAGCTCTCGTGACCCGTGCCAAATGATTGCAAATTTAAAATCAAATATTTGCCAACAAAAAAAAAAAAGCAGTATTTTCACCCCTTCAGTGTCCTCAACATTGACACCACCAGGGCCAACTCCCTAATGAGCAACTGCTACTTACTGCAAAGCCAACACGTATCCAGTGTTAAACCTGCACGAGCTAAATCAAAGCCACCCCCCACATAATTTTACCATTAATTATTTCTGTAACAATGTTTTACTTGACTGTACCTGTGCAGTCTTATTACTTTCATCTCTTCAAGTGACTCCAAAAGAAAAAAGCAACAGCAAACACACTTAGCTCTAGAATCCATTTTGATGGTGTCTGAGGTTCATGTTTTAATTAATGTTTTTATATATATAAACCAAACTTTTGCCCAGTTCAACAAAGAGGGCAACAGCTGTCTTCACCAAGGACTTTCCAAAGCAAGGGTTCAGTACACCTCTGCCAGCTTCTAGCACAGAGGGAAAAATCATTCACACTGAGTATTGGGCAAGTGGAAATTGGGGATAGGCAGTGAAATACGTATCTGAGAAAATATGCGTGTTTATGACATGACAGAATCAGTATCTAAAGCAATAGAAAGTTCTGTGTTTGGATCATCTCATCTCACGCTTCAAACTCAGTTTGTGCTATGGAATCTCAACTTTCAGTCAGAAATGGGCAGCTGAACAGGATGATTTGAGCTTATCTCGGCCTCTCCAAGGCATCACCTGCAGTACTCAAAAAGGGATATGGATTTCAGAGGACGCTGTGCTTACCCAGAGGGATGCAGATGCTGCAGGTATTTTGGAGCAGGTGGGACACACGAGCTTACCTTCCCAACTCACCTCTGAACACAAGCACGTCAGCTCCTCCTGCACCGACTCCATGGACACAATCAGGCAATTGCTGCTTCAGTGGGAACTACAAAGCAACACACAGAAGGGTTTACGAGGCGCTGGCAGAGGCACCGCCACGCTGCAGGAGGGGGGACTGGGGCTGTGGGGCAGGGCCCCTCCCCAGGGACACACAGACCACAAAGGCTCAGACGGGCACAAATATTTTTAAAATCAGGGGAAAAATTAAAAATAATCAAGTTTTCAGCTCCAGACAGGGTAGACAATGAAGCAGAATTTAAAGAGTGATTGCATCCCTCTTCTCCCTGTTCTCCCCATTCCTGCAGCCAGGGCTACCGGTACCACTGGCACCAATGGGTGACTCCAGGCAGTGGTACCCAAGGCACACTGCTAGCCCTGAATCATAACCCTGTGTATCAAGGAGGCATGAGCCACACAAACCCAGCAGCAGCTCTGGGGTGGGTGGAAAAGCACTGGGCACAACCATGGCTGGCAGCAAGCCCACCTCCCCTCCCTGAAGGGTTAAAACAGCAGCAGCAAGAACTACCTATTGGTCCTGGCAGACTAGAAGCAAAGGAAACATCTTATTTGTGCTGGTTTAGGTGGTAAACCAGGCCTAGGACAAGCAGGTAAGATACACAGGGGCTGTCTGGGTGTTGGGGCTTCTGTGGTGGCACTATTGGGTGCTCAGCCCCTCGCTGTCACAGGGAGGCAGCACCCAGGAGCACCCCCAAGCCTGGAGCAGCATCCCACCACGGCCAGGGATGGGGGTGTCCCACTGTCCTGGTAGCCCCAAATATGAGAACTGCCCCAAAAGCTCCACCTCAATGCAAAAGCTTCGCAACAGCCACGAGCTCCACACCCGCAGTGTGTACACCAGCTACCTCTAGAAATAGAAACTTCTACCTGTCATCTCCATGAGCCAGCCGCCTACAGAGGTTTAATTAAATCCCCCAAATAACTGGGGAATTTGAACATGCAGAAATCCATTAATGCAGTCCACAAAACAATGCAACTTCTGCTTGCCAAAGTATATTGGGCAATTAAGTAAAAAACACCCGCCCCCCCCCGCCTCGCTCCAGTCACAAACACACGCACAAAACCAAAACAAATTCCCCCTGAAATACAGGAGTCCCTTAAAATACAACCTCGTCCCTCCTCACTGACACTGTAACCAGAAAAAAAAAGAGAAGGAAAAAAAAATGTGAGAAGGAGCGTCCTGGGAAAGGAAAGGAAATAAATACAGGAGCCCATGACAGGACAGATTTGCATACAGAGCCTTTACTGACCCACAGACTGCAGGACTAGGTGAGCTCAAAGACAAGTAAATATTCAGCATTTCCTTTCTATAAAAAAACAGGAACAAAACCCCCAACTCTGCTATCGAACAGTTTTCCAGGAGACATGCACAAACAAATCCTGAAGTCATTGTTCTCATTTGAAACAATTATAAAAAAAAAAAAAGGCATTTACTACTTTACAGAAAAGACTAAAATAAATCATCTCATTACAGCTGAAGGTCCCAGACACTCATTAGCGAGACGAAGCTACGGTGACAAAATGAAAATAAGGGCGTGAGTAACACCACCAAAACACTTCATATCTGCCTGGCTCTGAAAAAAACCCCACCACCTTCGTTCCTGCCTCCCTTTGAACGGCGAAATTTAAACAGAAGTTACGTCCTAAAATTTACAGATGTGGCCAGTAGCAGGGATCAGACCCGATGCTTGATCGACAACCACCACATGCTTCCAGCTACTCCATTCCCGACAGGACCAGCCCCGACAGGCAGCTGAAGGCGAGCGAGGGCTGCGGGAAGAGAAGTGGCTGTGAAGGAGCACGAGCAGCCAGACGTGGGAACCGCACACAGCCAAGTTACTTTCATTTGTGCGGCACCTCCAGCGCATCTCCCCGGCGCTCACATCGCACCGAAATCGCCCTCGCACGTGTGTCCTACCCGGCTGAGACTCGCTCCCGGCGGCACAAAATAAATGCAGAAAATATGGGGTTTTTTTCCTCCCCGTCCGCCACGGCCGAAGCTGTGTGGGAGCGAATAATTTCTCACGCGCTCGATTAAAAAAAAAAAAAAAAGTTTTTCTCCTCACTGATTTAACCATAAAAAAAGGCCGGAGAAGCAGCAAGTGGTTCATGTAAAACCCAGCACGGCGCACCTCCCGCGCTAAACCACACACGCTCTTAGGTGGGGCCGAACACCCAAAACCAAACTGCAGCTACAAAGGGCGAATTCAAACAACGCAAAAAATTAATTCGTTAACTTCACCCCATGTGAAACTCGACCCCGATACTGTTACCAGCAGGATCAGCTGTATTCACCAGGGCGAGGGTGTTGTTCTGGCGAGGAGCTACTGGTGCTCGTGAGGGCCTGCAGGACAAGACTTCAACTTACAGTACTTCAGAAAACCAGTAAAATCCACAGCAAAATTCCAGGATCCACAGTTTTTTCTCAACACTGCTGAGGAGAAGACAAGTATGATGCTTCTTGTTACTTCCATTTTTTTGCATTGTCATCTCATCCAGTTTTAAACAACAAGGGACAGATCTGGAAGCCCGATTCCTATAAAGTTTATTTGTTAAGAACAGGAAAAAAAACCTCAAACAAAAAAACCTTTTTTTTTCTTTTTTTTGGTCAGATGAACAGTAATTCAAAACATAACAAGAGCACTTTGATTTTATTTTTTTTAGATTTGGGTCAGTTTGCCTGAAGCATTACTTAAAGCTTCTCTCTTACATTTCATAAATGTTTACTGCATTAGCAGCAAAATTTTACTGTTATTTCCCACTAAAGTGGATTAACTAAATACAGACTTTC